ATTATAATTATATGGTAGAAGATTTAAAGGCATTCCACAATAGAACTTTCCTTCTAGAAACATCAAATGCCATGACTGTCTTGGAAATGAAACACCAATTAAAAAATGCACATCAAAAGAAATATTCTCAAATGCACTTCCTACTGTATTTATCAACAGGATTGTTTTCATGTTGTCAATCTTAGTTGTGCGGAATGACTAATCAAAGTAGCAAGAGCATCATCCATCCCAATCTGTCATTCTGAATTTTTATTGTCATAATTTAGAGTTTATGCAAACTGTTGCATAGAACAAGAGGCCTATCACAAGACAGAGACTCCAATGCACTGTTGTTACATGTGAATAGTCCAGTATAACCTCTGAGGAAGACAAAAATCAATTAGGCACAATTACATAAAGTTTGGCACAAATGCCTTTTTTCATATGTTATGCATAAAAATTCTCCATTCATCAAAGAATTTAAGAACCTACTTTGTAGTGGAGCACATCATGTCACCCTTCAATGTTACATGTATTTTTTTTTTTTCTTTTGAATCGAAATATGGGTAATGAAAGTAAGAGACATAGAGCTGTATGGTCGCCACCCATGAACCTGGAACCATTCCTTAGCCTGAGAGTAAAAAGTAAATTAACAGTGTATTTCGGGGTTAGATTATCAGAAGTTCTATTTCCCTGAATAATTTTAATACCTGGTATTTATGGACCCCACAAACTGCTTCACATTGCTAACAAAAATTACTAGTACCGTGGAAGAAAAATTTTACCCTGATGAATTCAGTGAAATAGTACACTACTGGCATTTCACATGAAAAACCATTAGTATCTTCAAGAAAGCAACCAGAAAAAGCCTTGCAACTATACCCTGAAGAGACGGATGTTTTAATCAGTGATACAGGCGCATTTATCCATTTCTTTTCTTCTAGGCTCATGTCAACTTAAACCACATACAAATCTCTGGTATTAGTATCAACAAGAAGGCTGTGAAAAAGTAGAAAGTTAAAAATTTTAGTTGTTCCTTGTAAAAGTTTATAGAAATTCCTGCCCAAAATTATTTTACTGAGCTTATGAGGATGCACATATAGGTTATTGATCAAGTTCGCAATTCTTCCCTCCTCCAGCTCCTTGTGTGCACAGCCACAGAACCTGGAGATTCTAGGGCTGATGAAGGATTGTGAGGAACAGTTCCTGTGGAGAACCTTGGTAAAGTAAAAACCAACCAACCAACCAATTCAATTGGGGATTACTATACCAATGTGCGATTTAAAGATCTTTAAGGCATGGCAGTGGTACAGCTCAGTATCTTCCATCAAAACTCTGCCTATAAAATTAAGACCAAGTTCTGACCTAATATCCCATATCTAATAGTTCCACTGATATCAACTGCGTATTTCTAAGAAAATAAATAATGTTTTAAAAAGTAATTTACTCTTAAGCAAGCGTGAAGTAAATAAAAGTATCTCACAAAAAGGGAACATGAGACATCACAATAAATAACTTCCATCTGGTCCATATAAGAGTTCATGATTCAAACTCAGGCTACTTGTATAGCCACTAATTAAAGTTTAGTACTACCTGAGTATTAAAGATACGAGATTCTCTGCCACAAAACAAACAGTAATGTTTCTGAAAAGCCCAACTACATACACCTCATAACAACTGGAATTATGCAAAAATTGGGGGCCAAATCCATTTCTGATGGTCAGTAGAACAAAGGCAGATCCTATGGAATCATACCTGTATGGTATGAAACTATTTAATACAGTATTTTTATAGAAAATGAAATTGTTTTAAAATTCTATTTACATAATATACAGCTATACACCTAAGTTATCCAAATGTGCAGAACTGCAAAAACATTTAAATAGAAGTTGTATAAAAAGCAAAAATTGTCATTAAAAAAAAAATTTAGGCATTTATACAAAGTAATGTCCTTTCCCTTCAATTTGCTTTTCTTTAGTTTTCATTTTATACGTTAGATTTAAAAATTAGTCAACACACTGAATTAAGTATGTAGATTTTCATTTAAATAAATCAGTCAACAATTTTTTTATAAAGTATTTAACACTTCATTGTAGAAACATAGGCAAAATGACTATTATAACCAAAATGAAAAATACTGTTCAATTTAAAAAAATGTACTTAAACAAGAACCTGAAAAAGTTTATGATATGCATAACATTGTTCAAGCAGAATTGCACTAGTATTACATAAATCAAGAGTTTTATAAAGGCCTCAATATGGCAAAGTTTAGAAATAGGTAGTATGCATGCACAATAGTACAACAAAAATCTTTTATAAAACAGCAGTTATTTTTGTAATGCTTGTACAAAGGGAATAAAGAGCAACCACAAACATATTTAATCTGTTAGGTTAATATATTATGATAGCTAAAATTCAGTCATGTCTTGCAGAGGAAACGAAGAGTCCTCCACTACATATATGTGAATACGTCTTTTGTGCCTTTAAAGTTATGTATAAAATACTTTGATTCAGTTCAAACCTGAAACAAATAGTATTCTTTATTTCCATTAAAATTAAAAAAAAGGTGAATCAGATTTTTTCTCTTAGCAACAACAGAAAGCAGACCAGGTCAGAGCAAGTGCTGGAAACTGATACTGATGCTTTTCACTTTTGATAATTGGATTTTGATATTTAACCCAGAATATTGAAACTTGGTCTTCGGTAAGGTTTCCCTAATATGTAATTTGGTTATGTTTTAACTCTGCAGTATCACAGTTTATCTTCATTTAAAGAAACTGCTGTGTTCTTTTATTCTTCAGTATCACGAGTATGACTTTTCTGTGACTGTCAAAACTGAACGCTGTGATCATCTGTGTGTGCTTAAGATTTGGGGTTTGGTTTGTTCCCTACTGCTTGGTATGTGTTGGTGAAATATTAATCCATAAGTAATGAGTATGATTAAGTGAATAAACATATAATGCATGCGTATGCAATGTCCTCTTGTGCTCTAGGGTGGCTACTGTCCTACAGGACTGTTGGTGTTCGTATGCTTTGTCCCACAGCAAGTAAGGTTTCAGCTTCCAAGATATAACGTTACTATGTTCTATAAGGTTTTAATAAATACAAAGCTTGTTTACATGGTATATATGTTTAGTATATCATGTACAGTCACTGAATTTTTGAAACATAATCATTGTGTTCATGCAGATCATTAGATGTTTCATTTCTATCATCTTGTTTACTTCTTGGCAACCTAAAGCTAACTTAAAAGCAAGTTATGTTTGTTTGTGAAAAGTTACCTAGCTTTATCATGATCATGAATGGGCACAAAGAAGAGAGTAGACCATTCAATCATTCTTTCACCATTTAAAACAAACAAAATTACATACTGTACTACAGCTTCCAGACTACATAATGAAATAGTGCAGATACCATCTTCATCAATTAAGTAGAACCAAAAAAGTTCATAGAAAATAGATTGCTCATTTTCACACTACAAACGAGTATGTTGTTTGCAATTTTAACAAATTTAAAGGTGTGTTATTTCAGCAGCATTGTTGTAAATTGTACCGTAGTGCAGTTTCTTTTCATAAAAATACCTTACAAATGGTCAGTCAAAAGTCATCAGCAAAAGAAAGACCCAGAAAACAATCAACCAAACAAAAAACAGAGGTAATGCTGATGCTGAAACAATTATAATACTGTTGGTACATAGAAAAGTAATCCTTATATTTTATACATTTATACAGAGTATAAAAGGTAATAGCAGATTATGCCACAGTCTCCCTTATCCCAATATCTATTTTCTTTGGAAGGAGTTCTCTTCTTTCATCAACACTTGCTAAGGAGTTTCGACAGTTTTGTCCATCCATGTATAACTTTGCATATACTGGATTGGCGTAATTTGTTGGCTGCAGAGAAATTAAGCATACATCAGAACAGTCAGATTAAACCAAAATAAATGTTTATGGAAATGGAAATGGGTTTGTTAAAGCAAGACCAAATACATGTAAAATATAATTGGACATATTTGATAGATACCTGGACTTCTGCAAACCTGATGAGTTAATTATTTAGTTAAAAATTAAATTCAGGATGAGACATGCTATTAAAAGAATCAATGACATGACATGCAGCATATTATGATATTCAAACCATAAAAAACAATGATGAAAATTAAGACAAAAACCTTGAAAAATGTCTCTGACGTTGACTTGTCCACCTTATTACACGGGAAGATTTCAGAATAGGTATGAAGAAGTTTATAGAGAAGGTGCACTGTGAGACCATGTGACAAGTTTAACAGTAGAAAACTGCAAATGACAGTTTCCATATATTACCTGTTCTAAGACATCAGCATCCCATCAAGAGCTGACCATGTTTTCGAATTCTGTGGCCCAAATATACAACATGATTTGACCAAAAATTAAATACTTCCATAATGTAAATTTAACTTTAATAATAAACCAGCATAATTGTTAATATATCATAGTAGTTACAGATGGAGAAATATTTTCTCAACAATTTTGGTAGTTTGGACTTTAATAAAAAATCTATTGTAATTAATGTAACTTCAGTATAGGGCAAGTCCATTTTTAATTTTGCAAAGTACTTCAGTATATGAGAAATCTCCTGAGTCTTACAGCACAGAAGGATGCATATAACATGGATGAAAACTTACTCTCCTATCACTCATGCTAAGGATAAAGTACTATCCCAGGTTTATCTTATCAATGTCTTCACCAGTTCCTTCATACTTTGTGCCTTTGTAGTCTCCTAGAAGACCTTTGCTATCCAACTAGATGTTCAACTTTTTACCTATAATAACTGGAAAAGACATCCTGTATTCAAAATCTTCCTTTCCTACAACTAACTAAACAGCACAGCTTTGCTTACACAAATACTGAGTGGAACACAAGTAAGCTACAAAGTAGGTAAATTAATTTGTCTGGTTTACATAGCAAGTGATTAAACTTTAAACTACCCAAACCAGAAACGGATAGGTTTTCTTGACATGCAAATATCCTGAGTACATCCTGGGTAACAAGTAATGAATGATGTCTAGAATCTAGTTCTTCCTTTCTCTGTTAATCAATAATGTTTCTCGGCCCAGGATTCAGATACTCCTTAGGCTGGCTATCTATGGCAGCTACTCAGTTAGTTAAAAGTTAGTTTCACACCTCCCTGGAACAGAGGCAGGAAAAGAGAAAAATATGAGTCACATTAAAAAAAAAAAAAATTAAAAAAAAAATAGGAGCTACTCTTTTGTATTAATGAAACATAAATATTTAATCAACTGCTGTAGTAATTTATGTGAGCAAACACTCAGTGATACCTGTCTGTCCCAACTGAATTAGAGATCTTTACATTTGTTGTAATGATTATAAACAGAAATTTAGTTTTATTTCAATTGATAGGACTTCTTATTTCATTGACAATTATTATTAAGGATAATAACCACAACAGAACAGAGACACTTGGCATCTATATAGTGCCTTATACAGTTATTAATATTATATATAATAGTAGGCTCTGCCTCATGATACCTCTTTGAGTGGGTAATGATAGCATATTGCAGGGTGGTGAAGTACAGAATGTAACTGAAACGACTTCCATTAACTGAAAGAGTTAATGTTAGAGATGGGCATATATTCTAGCTTTCATACCCTATACAAATTGCTAAACTTCCAAATACAGTATATTTCAACCATGCAAGAATGCAAATGGCACAAACGATGAATATATATATATTGAAGCACATGAAAAAAAAGTCATATTGATGTCCCTTTTTAGTACTTTAAATTTCAATGTTTGCAAACATCATGCTAAATTGTAGTCAAAATGTGATGTTTTAAAGTAACTAATAAAAATTGATTGAAAGCTGAACAATCAAAAAAAGCACTGCAAATACTAAAGGAAATTGTTCATTTTAGTTTGTATGAAGTTTCTTTAAAATAAAAGCACTTGTTCTCATTAATCTGGGAACTTCTTTCAGTTTGATAAATTTTACTAAATGCCTGTAATTACATATAAATTGCAAATGTATCAAGATACATGGCTGTGAATGCTATGTTAAACTTATATAATGCTATGGAAAAGCACCACATTGGTTACAGATTTTGCATTCATTTGCAAAGACTCATTTGCAGTTTTAGATTATGTTAAAATCATGACTACAGGTGAAATTTTGGATGCAGAGAGGAACCCTTTATTTCAAATAGAAAGAGTATTAATGACTGTCATTCTCCATTAATAGAAGAAAACCAAACTAAAACCAAACAGAAAATGCCTCTTATTTAAAAAATGAAAGACAAACTTTCTTTAGAAAGGGGCTGTGGTGGAATGAAATGGATTTGAATCATCATTTCTCACCCCTGTTGACAGTGGTCCTTTCAAGTCAGAGTTTAGGTAGATTGACGGAGCTGTGTGGGGAAGCTTGAATGCAGTGGGCCCTCCCCCTATGTATCTGGCCTGTATAAATAGAAAATTTTAGTTTCTGTGCTGATAAAGCATCTTCCCTGTGTACTTATCAACACTGTTAAATAAACAGTGCATTGATTAAAGACCTTAGTGATCTAGACGTAAAAAAAAAAAATCTAGTTACAGGTATTTTTCAGCATGAAAAATTCTTACATTCAATAGGAGAATAAACTTCAGCATTTTAAAATCATTTTCCATTAAGGATTAGAGCCAGACTTCACAATAAGCATTGGTTCAGTTACTCTTCCTCCAGTGAGTAACTCCATTTCCAGCTTACTTCTTGTATTCAGCACACAGACTATGTGATTCAGGAATGACATTCCTAGAGCTATCAGTAATCTGGTTATTGCTTTGTCAGAAATGCCACAGAATGATGGCTGCCCTTTGGCATACGTCTGATTACGGAGGTCTAGGAAAGACTATCGCAGCATTACCCTGTTCATCCCATGTCACATCACTCAGAGTTCAATCACTGAAGAGTGGTGCTGCAGAAGTGACAGCATCTTTTACAAGAAAATGATAATACTTACTAGCTTTGAGTAAACATTTAATCTATCTATCTAGCCTGGACTTTGAATTCTTTATGCCTTTAGAATTTTTCATATATGAAATAAGTTAGTCTCATATGTATGCATACACCTTCACACTTCAAATGGTAGACTGTACAATAACATATTTCCATTCAGTATTTGCAACTAGACTAAAACAATAGGTTGCAATTTGGCAACTTAAGGCAAGGTGTCTATGACAAAAACTCATTTCATAGTTTAGTTCTAACTCTACTTTGGAAAAATACAGGCAGTAGGAAAAATGTCCATCAGCAAGCATCAGACTGCAAAACAGCTGTTAATATATACATGACATTTATTCTAATGAAATCTGACTTGTCTTTATACTCATTAACTAAATCTAAATGTCTTTATTTTATGTTTCTACTACTTACATTTAAAAATGTCAAAGCCTTTGCAAGATATAAAGTAAATAGTGGTTTTGCCACCAGAAAAAAAGAAAAAAAAAATTACCTTTTCTGCATTTACAGTAAAATCTGAAGCTAAAAGACCACCTTCAGTGTGATCATGGCCCACCTCATACATGTTATATGATGGATTGCCAATTTCTACATTGATTCCTCCATTTATAATGGGTTGTCTTCTGATGGTTTTTGTCCTGTAATGCATAAACACACACAAAGAAAGAAGCCAGTGACTTTTCAAGTTATTTCTTGGATCCTTCATCCTTAAAGAGTACAAATTTGATTTTATTACTCCTTAATCATTAAGTCCAACAGGATGAAAAAGTGTTTCCTGCAGAGACAATCAGAAAATTCTTCCTTTTTCAAAAAAACTGGCACTCTATGTGTAGATATCTCATAAACTGGAAGTAATTTTTATTGTTTTTCTCAGTTTGGCAGTAGTGGTATGAATTCATACAAAGTGCTAATTCATTGTCTATAACCCTGACTTCCTCCTATTATTTCCAGACTTCCCCCACTTCCCAACGAAAGCCTTGCAAATTCATTGCAGATTTCCTGCAGTCATGAAGATGGAGTGAACATGAGTCCCTTGCTCCTTCATTTCACTTCCATTTGAAACAAGCTTCCCAAAGTCAGTTGTAATCTGATGACAAGCAAATGGTTTCATTACAGTGCATTAAAAATCACAGACTTCTCGTAGTTCCAGTTTGTATTCACACAGAATCACAGAATACCAAGTTGAAAGGGACCTCAAGGATCATCTGGTCCAACCTTTCCAGGCAAAGCATGACTTAGACTAGATGCCCCAGTACCCTATCCAGCTGAATCTTTAAAACGTCTGACATTGGGGAATCCAAGTGGGGAACCACTTCCCTGGGGAGATTATTCCAATGACTGGTTGTTCTCATTGTAAAAAATTTTCCTCTTGTGTCCAGTAGGAATCTCCCCAGGAGTAACTTCATGCCAGTAGTTATTGGAAAGCTCAACTTGATTTTTTTCAAACTTTAATAAAATATAGCATCTTAAATTTAACCTTGAATTAGATATCAATAAGCCACTCAGTTGAACTGTTTTAGTCACTGAATTCATTCCTTTCAGTTAATGAGGTGATTTTAGTCTGAGCAATTGAAATAACCTCAAAAGGGTAATTTTTCCCAAAGCAGTTATGTTCTCTAGAATTACAAGGGAATAACAGGGAGGTCACAGCCAGGACAATAATAGTAGAGTCGTCTTGTATGGTTGAGAAAGATGCAGTCAGTGTCTCAAATCCAATACATTATAGGATTTTTTGGAAATGGCATAAAAAAAATATTTACTAAAATAAGCACTTATCTGTAGCATAGAAGTCTTGAACATCTATATCTACTTTAATACTTGGTAGTTTTCTCTGAAGAAACAAAAAAAAACCCTGCTCAAAAATACATTTTTTGGTATAGTTTTAAGGAAAAAAAAAAAAGTTCTTTATTGAGGTTAGTTGTATTTCTCTAGTGAAGAACTATTATTTAACAAGTTATTCTCAGTAACTTAAAACATTTACAGATTAGCAACTGATTTTCAGGATTTGGCTATCACTGAACTTGATTTTTTGGTACAGTAGCATGTAATGATATCCATGGAGCTTGGTAGGGTCATTGTTACTAACAGTAATTTGTCTTGTTGGCTTTTCAAAAAGGATTTAAAAATTAATGCTTACTAGCTAGCACCAGATTTTGCAGGGCAGATGCTATGTATGATGCTAGATGATAGTAACTTAAAAGATTCTTTTAGTGTTGAGGACTGAAATAGTATCATAAATGGCTGCATTTGTGGAAACAGAAGATTGAGCACATATTTCTAAAGGATTTCAGAAAAGAAGACATTATCTTGGTTTCAGAGGTGCGGTAAGAAGCCCCATGAGAAATGAAGACAGCCACTCATGATCAACCAGCAGCCCAGCTACAGGCCTAAAATAAATGGTTTCTGTCTGATTTGCACTCCAGGTCTTCCCTACTTGGCCATGTCCTTATTAACAGGAATCTTCCCTCGTTAAATCTGCATCGTCACTATCATCACCTTCTTGTTTCTCTAAACACAAGAAAGTTAGCAGCTCTCTCAGGTGTCTGCATACAGTAGAAACACTTGATTTCCCTGCCACCCAACATGACCTTTGAAGAAATGGTTGAAGTCAAAATGTCTACTACACTCCGCAAATTCATTATCAACTTTAAGACAACTTCAAGAGAGAGAAAGATATGCTGTTCAGTGCTGGCATTTGGCTTCTTATGCAAGATCATGAAGAAATAGAGTAACTTGGCTTGGGACTCTACAATAGGTATTTTTAACATTATTTACATCTTCACTCACTATAACATATAAAATTGAAAAGAACTAATCAAAGTAAATACATTGAAGTGAACTGGAACTAGAAACTGGAAATCCTACATAGGCTCTATGTGAAAGTATTTATAGAAATGAATAATATTAATTAAGTGATTTCCAATGAAATACATTAATTCTGTTTACTAAGTTCACTAAGTCTCCAGGTAAAATTACTAACACTTATATAGCCTTGATGGGATTGAACAAACTGGATAAGAACAGAACTACATTTTCTTACCTAGAGTATGTGGAATACAAGTATAAATAATAGACACAATTGTTCCAGAAAGAACCAAAACATAACTAACTCACTGCATCCAGAAAAAAGTTTTGGGCTCTTTGTTGTGGCACTTTTTAAAAATCTCTCCTCAACATACATGAAGTGAACTTTTTATAGCGAAAAGATGCACCTACTTTAAATATTTACTTTTTTACTTCATACATCAATATAAAATTACTTACCTTCGTTTCCTTTTGCAAAGAAATAATCCAATTACCAGAGTAGTGACCAAAGTCACCAGTAAAACAAGAGGAACAATGATTGCAATGCTTCCTAAACCAGGAAAAAGAAACATCATTGAATACTCATAGCTATATCTAATAATTTCTTCACATGTGTAAAACAGTTAAATTAGTAATTAAAAAAAAAAAAATCCCCTTACCAACAAGTGTAATTTCATGTGATGAGCTTCACAGATTTGAAATTTTAACATTTATGAATAGTAAGAAAGAAATCATTACAGATAATGGTGTACATACAAGTATTTTTATCAACAAGTCTGGATACCAATATACTTCGCACTAATAATAAAATAAGTAACATGCTGCCCTCATTTGCAGCGATACCGCATAAAGGTATGTGGAATTGCTGAAAAATTAGGAGTGGCATGGCCACTGACTTTAACTGTCACCGTCATCTTCAGTAGTTTATTTAAGTCACAGAACTACTAATTGAAAATATTCAGTAGGTATGGCTGTGATTAAAGAATTCCATTATTAGCATGGATGTGTATTTATTACTTTTATTTGTGGGAAAATGAAAACTAATAAGCAATATACATTTCTACATGGTTGG